ATTTGCAGTCAAAAAAGAAAAAAAGAACAAGTCAAAAACAAATGAAATTAATTTGTTGAAAGTGTCTTGCCAAACGTAGAGCCTAATCATCCTACCGCCCCGCAGCGACAGCCTCCGTATATGCACCCCATCCATCACCTTCGCTGGGTGGTGTGGGCCATTTTGGTTGTTGCAAATCATCGTCTTTCCTACTCCTTCGGACCAGAACATCGACCGCCTTAGAATAACTGTTAGCCCGGTTTCCCACACGTGGGTTTGGTGTTGGGTATCCATTGGGGGCATGGGCACCGCTCGATGCCCTTACATCATGAGCTGATGTTCGCCTGGGGATATTATTTTCTGTTCGGGAAGCGGCAAGTACCTCATCGACAAGTTCGTCGTTCTCATCCGGAGTTTCATATCTTTGTCTGGCATTCCGTACACTTCGTCGCGTCCTAGAACTGATGGGTGCCACCACAATCCCGCTGCTTGGTACAGCCTCTCCACGCGATCCACCCGGGGTAGGCGGGAAGCTGGAATTTCGTCGGATGGAGTTGTTCCCTTTGTTACTAGAGTATGTAGAGCTGTTTGAGTCGTCCAACACGCCTTCAACGTCCCTAATAGCCCTATCAAATGCTCCAGTATCGCTGGGACTCTCCACTAACATGCTGCTCCTGTTGCTTCCGCCACCTGCATTACCCCCCCAAGCAATGCCACAACCAATCCCAGCCTCTAGATCCTCATCGCCGGGACTTCCAGGAAGTCCACCATTTTTTCCAGACAGTCTCCGTGCGCGCTTTCTTAAGTGAGAAAAAAAACTCTCCTTCTGTGCACCTGCCGAGGGTGGGCTTGCCAAACCTCCATTTACATTCGCGTTGCCATTCAACCTTTCAGCTGCCATTGCAACATGCACGTTTGTATAACCATTGCCATTCTGTGAATTCGTTGAAGCCACTGACAATTGTCGGCCAAGTTTTTTTACCGTCTTTTCTTCCATTCTTCTCCTCTCCTTTTCCATAGAAGGTGATTGGTTCTCCCTTCGTTGTCTAGCAGCCTCGACAGAAACAGTGTCACTCAATGGGGATACTGGCCTGATTGTAGGCAGTATCATCATTGGAGCTGCACTGGTTGATGCACCTGCTGCTGGTACTTTTTGTGCGTGCCACGTACTCCTTTTCTCTGACTTTGGCTTGAAGTCACGGTCGATTGTTGTTGTGGGGGGTGGGGAAACAACGCCATCGCCTCTTACTGTACCGATGAATGACTTTCGGAACCATGAGTTCTTCTTTTCAAGTGTAGGCTGAACCTCTGTGATCGAATCCCTCGATTGTTTTGTTACAAGATCAGACTGCTTTCGGAGCATTCGTGACGGTGTGTTTGATCGAGGAAGGAGAGGGTCAACTGCATCTTTGAAGTACTCATGTTGAAGAGCCTGGATGGAAGTTGGACGGTTACGTGGGTCCCACATCAAACATTGTGTAACAAACGTTGCCAATGACGCAGGCCATGTAGGTGATTGAAGAATGGTCTCCATGGGTTGAGGTGCCATCTATTTATAGTTAGTATTAAAACCCGTACTAATAATTGAGGTAAGGGGTAGGTATGCATGCAGACATAGGAGAATAAAATTCTCGCATTCTGCGCGTGTATAAGAAGTTAACGCACCCTTGGGAAGCTAAAACCCAGTCTTCCTGCTAATCTCGAGCCTTCTTTCCATTCACCACCACCCATCTTCTTTCCATTTCGTCCGATCCACTGCCCTGGAGACCCCATAACCTCGCATACTCTCCAAACCTGGTCTACCTCGTTACCACCTGGGAATAAAGGTTTCAATGTTGCTACCTCTACAGCCATTGCACCAACTGCCCAGATATCTACTGGCGCGCTGTACTCGCCAGCCCGCAATAACACCTCAGGCGCTCGGTACCATCTTGTTGATACGTATGTTGTGTATGGAAGTTTTGACGAGGTCTCACGCGCAAGTCCGAAATCTGCAATCTTAACAGTGTACGTCGGAGGTGTCGCTGGTGGTGTCACAAGATTTGAGTATCGGCGGAAGGAGCCCGTAGAATCGTGGGGGTTCTGGGCTGATGTGGAAACGAGGATATTCTCAGGTTTGATGTCTCGGTGGAAGAATCCATGAGCGTGGATGTGCTCTAATCCGGACAATATTTGGAATCTGCCCGGCTGGTCAATACCTGAACGCAAAAAGCGGCCCTCACACGGTAAACATACAGTACACTCTTTACCACGCTTCCTTCGAGTAGCTTGCCCTCTCTTGCCTTCATCAGCTGATAGAGATTTCCGTCCATGTACTCCATGCAGATGTGCAGGCGCTTTGTGTGGGGATCCAAGAAGATATCCAAAGCCGGTACTAGGTGCTGGTGCGCTGGCAACTGTCGTAGAAAGATGACTTCTCGGAGTTCCAGGCAAGGCGCGAAAGAGTCAAAGGTCTTCTTCATCGTTTTGATAGCAACCTATGCAGAAGTTAGAAAGTCACATCTAAAGAGTAACACAAGTAATCATGATACGCACCACACTCCCACGCCTTGCTACACCAGCTCCAGCCGACCGCACCTTGGCAAGTACGACACTGCCAAAACTTCCATCACCAATATCCTTAATGATCTCGAATCGATCCGTCAGTGCCATGGTTGATGATGAGGTTCCGCTGACCATTGTGGTTGATTAGGTATTTTGTCTGGAGGTGATTAGCATTCGGCACGAATGAAAGTGCGCCAGGGGTGTGTGTGGGAAACATATATACCTAAAGAAATAGGAGGCAAGCAACTCCACTAATTAGGTACCACAAGTATAAGATCCAACAAATGTGCCCGCTAAACTACGAAAGATATAAAATAAATAATAAAAGCTCGCGCCGGTACAAAAAGAGATCAACTAAAAATTAAGGTTTCAACTTTGGATGTGATTTGAATGTATGGACTCTCGGAGGTCGGTATATGCCTGTTATGTTGCTTGAGGTTTGAAACGAATGCTGTATGTCCTAGTAAGATGGATGATGTGTTTTCTGTTGACAGCGACTCAGACTCGGCACCCAAGTACTTGATGATGCTTCCTTTAGTCGGGAGACGGTAGAAGCAGCAGAGGTGCAGAGCTGGAAATAGGTTGCAGGGGCCAGCTTTGACGACGTTGCAGACTGAAGACCGAGAAGGTAGAGAATGATGTGAAGGGGGGAGCGGGGAGGGGGGAGCAGGAATAGGAACACAAAAGCAGAAGGGGAGAAGAAAGTGCGATGGAACCAATGAAAACCAGTAGGACCAATAGGGGTGTTTTCGACTGGGATTGGGTGGAACCGAACAGCTGGATAGGACCGAAGGGCTACGAAAGAGAAGAAATGGAAAGAAAGAGAGAACAGGAAACAGGCAACGACAGAAAGAGAGCGTGGGGTGGAGAAAGGAAGTGAGTGGGTGGGGAGATATTTTTTGCTGCTGCGAGAAGGGAGTAAATGCGAGTGAGCGTGTGCAGCGGACGGTAGGTGCGTTGGTGGTGGTGGTGGTGGTTGCGCCTGTCTCGTGGGATTGTTGCAGTGTTGCAGAACGGCGGGTCGAAAGGCCTGAGAACTAGTCAGGTCAAGACCCAAGAAGGACGATCCGCTATGAACCCCTGCGTCCCGTTTTCTCTTGCAACTTCCTACTTGCCCTTTGAATTTATCAAGCGTGTTTACAGTATAATTATTAATTTTTTTTAGCAAGTAGGAGGAGGTATTGAGGGAGGGGAGAGGTCCTTTGATTTTAGACTCTCACGCGCTTTTCCTACTCTAATTCCTCTCCAACTGTTTCTTTGATATACTTAGAAGGCAAGTAAGATCAGCGGCAGTAGTAGTAGCTCCAAAGAAGGTAAAGCCCTGTGGCAATACTTCTTGCTTGCGTCTCCTGTGAGGCACGAATTGGTAGTGCACTCTAGAACGAATATGTGCGAGTACCCAGGGTAGTTATGTGTGTGTGTTGTATCGGCTGCAGCCGCGCTACCTTTCGCGATAGGCGAATGAGCGGGAGAAGGGACGGATGACAGTGTAGGCAATGCCTGATATCAAGCTTGAATTGGATAGACAAAAGAACAAGATGGCGAGAATATCTCTCTTTCTCTGAATAGAGTGGTAAAGCGTACGTCTTTGGCGAGATGAGCCCCTTCCCCGAATGTAGGTTGCGCACAGAACCCTCTGCACCTTGGCCAAATCTCAACCAATATTTACGCGTTTCCTGTACGGCTGTGTGGATCGCGCGTGGAAATTGTTCCGAAAAAGGGTGATGAGATGGTTCTCCGGATAATTGATCGTAAAGAAAGGGAGTAATCAATGCATCAATGGTTATTGGGGGTGATTCGACTGTAAAGTGTGCGCAAACCAGATGGCGAGATCTACCGTCGACCGGAGGATTTTGCGGTTGTGGCGGTGGGTGGTATCACTGGGTATGTCTCTCGGGGGGCTGAATATCGAACAGGGAGAGATACATGAATGTACTCTACTTTAGGACGCTGGTAAAGGATAGGATAGGATAGGTAGACTTTAGAGTGCTCTGCACAGCGAAACTTAGGTAAACACGGTAAGGTAAGAGGTGAGAATAGATGGGATATGGAGGGGTCATAGATGAGTCTATCAAATGACCAGGGGGCACCGTTGGAATAGAGGAGCAACAGAGGGGCTGTTACATTACTTACTCCCACTCTTACAGATGATGATGATGATGATGATTATGATAATGATATGCCCCTCCTGTTTGAATATTTGCTTTCTCTTGATACTGTATGTAGAGTCGTACCTAGGCGCATGTACATACATATGATGTATCTATGCGGTGGGAGGAGGGACCGTTGATGATGGGGAAGGGGGGGGGGTGTTGAACGTCCTGCCCGATTTTTTGCAGGCCTTGTCGTACAGGAACTATTTTGAGACAGCGGCTTCCCTGAGCTGCACTCAAAAGTCATAAGTTCTCTCTCTATCCTGTTTTCATCATCACCACCTTCAGGAATTCTCTCCACTTACAAAACAACACCAATTCACCTTAGTTCAGTCCAGCGCAGTTATGAGCAACAACACCACCAGCAACAGCAGCAGCAGCTTGCAGAAGGCAGCCCAGCAGGGCAGAGTGGCCCAAATCCAACCTCTTTCGGGGGATTGGGTGTGGTGATTTGCGGTTTGTTGTGTTGGCTGGATTCTTGCAGGGGCCAGGGCTGTGGAGATGCAGCTGTTGGGCTGTCAAAGCCTTTTCCATGTCCGAACCGCACCAGGGGAGGAGTGGCCGTGTCTGCCGAAACGGGTTGGCTTGTCGTCGGATATGATCCATGAAGTCTTAGACTGTTCTAAGGGCCAATCCCTTCCAGATGGTTTCCTTCGTTTCTTTTTTGGGTGCTTTACCGCAAAGGGATTAACGGCGAACAAGGAAGAAAAATACGCCTGCAATCTCCGCCGATATTGGACATATGGGAGGTGGGGAACAGAACAACAAAATTTAAAACTTGAATCTGAATTTTGATTTTCCTCTGTGTAGACCGCCGCCAGCGCCGCCGGTACATACTGTAGTATTCTCAGCTACGAAGAGAAGTATCTCTCTGATATATGAGTTACTTTCGGACGACTGCATGCGCTAAAATGTTTCCTTGTGTGGGGTTGTCCGCTTTGTCTCCTCTCTAACGCGCTTGTTTTGCCTCCATCCCCAACGATCCATAGTCGACTCACGTGGGAAGACGAAAAAGTCCTTAGCATCGATCCAGTGAGTGCGAACCATTCCTGTTCTCTTGCAGTGCAGGGACCTCCTCCTTCTCCTCCAGCTTAAGCTTGAACCTCCGTTGCAGGCATGAAAAATTAGGCTCCTGCGGCGCCGAGAAGTTGTGGAACGAACGAGGTGACAGGTCATGTTTTGGCTGCGTTCGCAACTTGCCGTGTTTAGGAAAGCAGCGGAGCCTTGGCAATCGCTCGAAAAGAAAGCGGTTGAGTCAGAACGGTTTTGGAGAACGGTGATAGGCCAGGGTTTAGGGCTGTTAGTAGATTGAGTTCCCTGCATGATAATTATCGGGCCTTGGCGGCGTAGGTAAGATGGCGACAACGTGAAGGAAATCCCTTGTCTCGCAGGTGTGGAATATATAAAAATTTAAATATAATATCAAATTGCAAAACAGTCAGTAGAACATCTACTCAGCGCTGTGTATCAAAAGATTACAATTCCTCACGCGAAATAAAAAACGATCTTTTATCGTACACAACCCGCTGGCAACCGATTGGACACCATTTACACAGTTTCGTCTCGACACGGTGTTTCTCTGAAAGGGGAAGGAAAAGGGAAAGCATAAAAAAACCAATATGATCACACGAGATGTTACATGTAATTATCTGCCGATACATCCAGCCAAACAACCAAGCTTCTGACTACTCTCAGTCTCTCACTAACCGAACGGTGATATCCTTCTTCCAACATCGTTCCGTAAACGGCTCCCCCTCTAGACGCCACATTTGAGCGACCTAACTGTTTTCTCATCCCTCGATAGCACAAATTCACAACCTCTTATCAAGCCAACCGGGATCTCGGGTAGAGAAAGATCTCCAGTATGCTTGCTCTTCATCTCATTCTCAGGTCGGCGAGAACGGGTCTTTCCTTGAACCCTGAGTCTCCAGACGCCCTTTCGTTTACCCAACCCAACCCAACCCCAAACCTCGAGATGAACGTTTAATAGGGGCCAGCCACCAAACATCCACCGGCCGCCCTGCGGGGAATTCAACAAAACACCATTACCTACATACATGTATGCAATTGCTTATGTCGAGATGGTCCTCACAAAGTGATATATGTAAGCTACTCCACATGCGCGTATGCATACATGTAGAGTACATACTGTTCTGGTTCCAGAGTGTCGGTAGCTGGCACATATTCTCTACGAGCTCTATATCGGAAGTCACAACAAGTTCGTGGACTGTTTTGGTTTCCCTATATGATACAAGTAATTACATGCTACATCAATGCAATTCCAACTGTCGTTGGACGAGATGAGCCACAAAACGCCCAGATGGGATGGAGTAAAAAAGAAAGGGACATAACGCGTCGCACATGCATGCCGTACATAGGACCCAGCGTTTCAGAATCTCCCGGGAAAAGAAAGAAAAAAATGCATGCATGATGCTCTGCTGCTTCTTTGTGAGCTAGCCCATCGTGGCATCCACCCATCTCTCTCCATACATCACACCTGGTTCCCGGTATTAATAATTACCCGGATCGTTTCATGAGTTCAATCTTTCCAGGACGTCAAAGGTAAAAGAGAGAGCTCAAGGACAAGACATCATCACCTTGGGGAAATAGTCTCTTGTAAAGTTGGAAGTTTAAGTGCAAGCTGTATCACACTTAGCCTGGGATATAATCTCTATGTTCCCTTCTACCCGGCTATTTGACTGGAAAGCAATATATGGTATCTATCCCCACATACCCACGGGCCCCACCGAAGAACTAATGCCTCGCGACGACCATGACACGAAAAACCCACGGGCGACTACCCCCCCTCTTGGGTTCACAGAACTCATTTCAATTCTCAATTCGTCTTCCAGAATAGTGCCCATGACCTCGGTTGCGGGACGACGGAGCATATGACGTCGGAGAATATCGGTAGACAGCATTTATGGAGCAGCGCACAGTTACATACTGTATTCATGGAAGGACCAAACAACAAAGTTCGCTGCTTGCCATGCCACATATAACGCATGAATTTTATCGATATGTACCAGCTGTGCGGGAATGAAATGAACATCAACCGTGGCTTCGTTTCCTGTTGGGATTGGCAGATGCAATCTGTGCACAGACAGGATAGGTAGAAAAGAGAGAACTTGGACTCTCCATGATTAGAGGCTCGTGTTACTGAACGTTGGGGACAAAACATTTCTCTACTTTAGAAAATGCTCACCCTGTTAGTTGGGTAATGAGTTTACCTTTAATAAGGAGATCGCCGGGCAATCCCAATGAGAATAGACCCAAAATCAACTTCTGGACACCGTTGATTGGTAAAGCACACGAAAACTTTGATTGGTGTTTCACGATAGGAATTGAGGTCAGGGATGAGGCAGTGCAAGTTCATTTCGCAAAAACGTGCCCTGGGTGGCGAAGGTGCCCCCAACTTAATATCACTTTATTCTAGAATAACCAAGATCAACTGCGGTCAGACTTTCAGAAAGAAAATGCCCCAGGAAATACCTGGCTATTCCCACTCCCATGGTACAAAACACTTTGGAATTTGACATCCTCCCTCAACGTATGTGCAGTGCCGCCCGCCCTTCCTTGATTGCCTGCCAGCGCCGTCACAGGATGGAGAAACACGTAGGGTCCCTATTGTTGACCGACCTACCGTGTCCCAGGACCACCTTGCCGCTTGTTCTTCGGACTCGTAAGCTCAGCTTCCCATGCGGGACTGCGTACTTTACTTCTGCGGACGGGTAGATCTGTCATACAAAAAATCAAAACCATCTTTAAAGTTGCAGATGAATCCGCCCGCCGCCCGACCGATACGTAGGCCCCATTTCATTCATTCCGTGGAGTTTATTTACTGGCCCAATAAAAGCAACGGTGGAGACCGGCCCTGGCCGTGGTTGATAGGGTAGGATACTTCGGCCCGTATGCAAATCAAGTTGATCCCTGGCGGGGGGAGCTGTCTATCGGAAGATTTGTGGTTCGAGCGATGGCCTGCACGGACCAATGGATGGGTTTCTGTTCTTGGCTGGGGGCAGGCAGATCGAGACGGAGATCGGAGGTTTCCAGGTGGGAATTCCCTGTGCCTAGGTTGCATATGATGTAGTTTTGCTTTCATAGCATCGGGCTACACGCCGCCCGCCGCTGGAGGTCGGCCACGAGTGATAGTGTGTGATCGCTGAAAGCTGGTGTTGGTGTGTTGTCCCTGTGAGTGTAAAACTTGTTTCGTTTGGACAGGAAACATTACGCAGATGTTTTCAGGGTTGGGAGTCGGTATGAGACCCAAGCTCCCGGCTACAGGCCTACGGGAAGCATATGTGGATATAGTTACGGCACCGGGAAGACGGGCGAGCTCACAACCCTACACCGCCAGACTGCGGTTAAGTATCATACGGCAACTATATCTTTTAGTTTAACTCAACATTCGCACACGTGGAGGTCTCCCCCCGTAATGTAATGTGGCTGCAAACACCCGCGAGAGCTAGCTAGCTGAGGGGTTCTGGCTGATGGATGATACGCATATGGCTCGAAAGTCCATGAATCGTCATGACACCGATACGGGTTTGATACACTGCGCCTGAGACAGGTTGCAACACCCCGAAACGTCACTTTGCCTGCGAGTTCTGGCTGACGCGTTGTCGCCTTCAGAAAGTGGTAGGAAGCGTGCTCAAGTGTATGTATGTACATATAGCCAGCCATGTGAGTCATCATGAGTTTTCGAGACATGCAGTACGAGTGCTCTAAATATAAGCAGAGAAATCCTGTAGTTTGCAATCTCGCGGAAAATGTGTTAGTCTACGACTACATGTGCTTGTATGTCAATTTGGTTGATTAGGACACATAGTATGGATCAGCTACCATAGTATGGAATGAACAACAGTAGACTAAACCCACACGAAAGCTAAAAAGTCAAAAAGAGAGCTCGATCCCGGATTCGAACCGGGGTTGCCGGAATTTTCTTTTACATCAAAATCCGGAGTGATAACCTCTACACTAACCAAGCGTAATATTATCCATCAAACACGGGGTTTTGAAGGTCCCACAGGGAGGTTTCGCACTAGGGTATCCGTCTAAAGCTCCAGAGTAAAGAAATTTCTGATCCCGAGATGTCTTAGATTGCAGCAGGCCGTATATACATATTTAGCACGCCGTAGTTCGATTCTTTTTGGTGTGCTTCATGTCCCGTCACTCGTGCCCCGCCCCAGGTTCCAAATCCCACAATCATAGACCCAACTTTTATTATCTACCATTTCCGTGACGCGCATGAACGCAACCACAACCGCATAACATCACACTCTACCAACCCTCTGGGACCCGCCACTCCATCGGGTACTGCTTCCCCAGCCACTTACTCCAGCTTAGAGTGTTAGGTAGCAGTCGGGCGTGTTGATTATCTTTCTGCATGTACTCTACTTCTCTGGATGAGCGTATATCTCAATCGGGCTGCAGGTATAGCATAGAGTAAGTACTCTGCTAGTATATACATACGCCCACAAAGTGCAAGATACCCGCCGACGTTTGGTTGGGTGACCCTGCATGCTTGCTTTTTCCCCTCTCTTCTCAATACGTCGACTGTGGTTATGGCTGTCTCTAAGCGCTCGCTCGGTGCAGTGCAGTGCAGCGCAGTGCAGAGAGCAGACGGGGGGGGGGGCAAAGTATGGTGTTGCGGTGGGTCGCTGGAAGTAGGGTTAGGGGGAGCGGGGGGGATGATCTGCGTGAGGGTAGGTGGTGGCGGGTGCGCAGGGAGATGCGCGCGCGATCGGGGAGGGCTTTGAGCTTATCGCTGGGTGGTATGAGTCGAGGAGGGGCAGCATACTAATAACATGTGTTCTGAAAAATAGTTTCGTTCCCCCCGCGGCTGAGGGGATCGCTCAAATTGAAACATCACTTTGTGCATGTTATGCAGCTGTATTTTTGATATGAATTAACTCTTTTTTTTTTTGGAATAATAGTAATAATTGGAATAATAATATTTTTTGTCCACCCATAGCTACAGTCGGTGTTCTGATATTTGGTGATATTTGCATAACTACTGCGTGCTCTACGTGCTTGCCCAGCCAGCCAGTCTGGATGTTCATGGACGGGTTGGTATGCTGTTCCGGCCTGCATCGTTAGCCAGTTTGATATCATTGACTAGTATCTTGTTATGAGAGAAATAGACCGCATCTACCCCGCCTCCCCCCACGATATAGGTCTAGAGATATGAGACCTTTAGCTACTTTATCATGCAAATTCCCTAACGACCATAACATGATAAGAGCAGAGAACGACCAAGCATCTTATTAGCTTGATCCTAATATACCATGTCTAAATAATGAAGCTAGGGCCGGGGTTGCATCGGACTAGCTACTGTTAATACATATTATGTACAAACGATCACAAGGCTGATGTTCAGGAGAAACTACAATAGCAGCAGGGAGAAAACACTCTCCGGGAAACTGACGCGGGTTGTCCAAGAGTTACGACACAGGGTCGGCCAAGGATCTACATGTAGGCATAAAAATTATTCGACCAGCAGCTGTCCGCGCCTGTAAAGACATTCCTCAAATTTTCAATCTGACTTTAAGCAAACCTCACAGCCCGATGCGGATTTGGAAGCTAAATGTTGAAGGCGCAGGTACCTATATGGGCGAGGACTACGCACATTGAAATATGTACCATTAGACTTCTAGAGGCGGGGTTTATCGTGCTGTAGACTTTTGAGTACATGTACACATAAAATTTGAGAAATTTCATTCGCTTTTTCTGTTGCTCCCGCTTGAATTTCACCTTTTTCGATGTGGAAGGAGGTGGGGAATCTTTATCTGTTTTATTGCGTATAAGCGCTGGGCTGATTGAATCCTGTTCCACATTTGTTGTTGAAACGTATGGCTCCCGAGCCTAGGATCAAACGTTTAGTTGTCACTATAAATCGCCGTATGTCACTATGGTGTCAAGAGTAGACGGTGGAAACAATGGAATAGTTCAGTGTATTAAGAGTTATATGGGTATATGAGGTCACTTATTTGTACTGTAGTCAAGCATATAAGAAATACAAGCAACATATCTTTCCTATCAATCTATCCAGTCAAGAAAGCAGCCAACACCCACCTATATTTCTAACATTTGTGATTCGGCGGTTGGCCGAGTGATAATCTATGACACGACAGGTTTTTTTTTTTAACACACGACAGGGGTGTAAGTTTACATAGGCAGCTTAAGCTTACAAGGTAAGAAAGAGATGATAACATGATTGATAGTCGGCACTAATCAAGGCAGGAGTTTCTCCGTATATGTAGAATAGACAGTTTTAAGGTTGAGAAATGGTAGTTCCGTCTATTGAGGTACTTACCTTTCCAAAAGGAGTTGTTTTTTTACGTACAAAAAGATCTAACTAGACTCTGTACGTCTATCAACAGACTTGACACATTTGGTACTCTCGAAAAGAGAAAGGAGGTAAGAGAAAACGGCCCCTGCATTTGAATCCAAAGAGAAATGATTGGTTATTGAGGGTATTGCGTGTAATGATCAGGGGAAGAGATGAGGCGTCACGAGAGGGAAATGATACGAGATAGAGGATGCGGGATGCAGAGAAGACGAAAATTGTATCAATAGGAAGACGGGTACATGACGAAACTTAGAATTTCAGGAGGAGGGGAAGAAAAGAGCAATGTTAGAGGTTTCGATCGTCCAACATCCTCTACTTCTTGCGACCATAACTGGCCCATGGGCTTTCTTCCTCCGGCACATTATTCTCGGGTTGACCCCATTGTGGAGCCTTAGAAACCTTTGCCCATCCGTTCTTCCTAGTGGCTGGCTGCTGTGATGAATAACCGGAGCGCGAGGCAGTAGATGAGGCTCTACTCGAGCCCCCAATGGGCCTCGTTCTATCCATAGTTTCCCATTGATCATCGTCGTCTTCGACAGGAGGAGCACGACTGGCGCCGGAGTTAGAGGGCTGGTTAGCACGGGGATTAAACACAACCGGAGCACGCTGTGCGGCGCCGGGACGTGCCGGAAGGTTGTATCCCTGCTGTCTGGGAGGACCACCATGATGGGATGTAGTAGAAGATGAGACATCTCCAAATTCATCTTCATCGTCCTCACCGGTAGCTGATGCCCAATCATTCTTCTTATTCTGAGATATATAAGGCCTGACCTTGTTGACATTCGACCTTGACGCGCCAACATCCCACTAAGAAATTGTTAGCAAAGAAAACCAACCATGGAAAGTACAAGACGTAGATTCAAACACATACATCGTACTCTTCTTCTTCTTCCTCATCGTCGCTGCTGCTTGAATCAGTGGCATCATCAGGACGAAGATCGGGCTCGATTTTAATATCAGTGTCGACACAATTGATGCACCTGGCGTTATCTGGGTTCTTTCGCTGGTTTTTGGCGAACTCATGCAAACCCTTCACTTTGTCGCAAACATAGCATTTGAGCTCGCAAGTTTGGTTCGCGGTGCACAGGGTGCAAGCGACATGCACTGAATCCACATCTTTCTTGGCTGGCTGGAATCAGCACCAAAGTCTACTTTGAAGCAATTACAGTTGAGCTATGGTGCTCGGTGGCTTGTACTTACTTGTTCGACTGCCCCTCTTGTACGAACTGAACTTGAGGAGCTGGCGGTTAGAGAACTCATCCTTACTCTTCGTTTTTTTACAGATCGCACACCTAATCTGCGAAGGTGCCCCACCATCCCTATCAGGTGTATGAGTTAGCAGCTGTATCCATGTCTCCTAAATAGTGAACCAGAAAACGCAGCGAAAATAAAATTTGATGAAAACAAACCTGTTCGCGCCAGCAGCCGCTCCCGGTTTCTTGTCAGAAGTGCTCCATCTCGCACCTTTGGGCGCAGATGGTATACCTCTACCGGCCATGCCTGGGGTTCCTGTTGTAGGAGCTAAAAGGTCAGTCTCAATTGATGAATTGCAAAAGACAATGCGCAGAAAAGATACTTTTGGATTTGACGAGCTATCTGCCAATTGGTGAAATCGGCAAGGTCCTGTTGATGGTGATGAGGGAGCTTTTTGTGATGAGGAAGGGAGAGGGAGCTGTAGTGGGGTGGAGGAGTAGTGGGGTGTGGATAGTGGGATAGTGGATGCCTGAATTGCAGGGGTTACGTGAAGACGTGTTGCTGTTGCTGCTGTTGCGGTTGCACGGCTCACGTGAAACAGAACTCAACCAGTTAGCTCGTCGAGCGGTCAATGATCGTTGTACAGTCAGTCAATTGAATAATCTGCGTTTCCTTTGAGAGTCCTCGTCCAGGACCTCACTCTATGTGTTATTCTTAATTACTAGCAGTTTATCATGAAGAGAAATCAAGTGAAATTTGGTCGCAAAACCCACCACGGAACTTTTCACATACATACATACATACATTAAATTCAAATTACATTTATTAAGATTCGTATGACACATCTCGATCTCAACATAAATACATAACTATTAACATGGCCCGTGAGATTACACAGAAACTCCGCTTTATAAACGCACGACCGCAAACAACCCAATAATCATCAATCCAAACACCACCGGGACTCTTACGCCAGACCCACCATTCCCAGCAATTACCTGAGCCACTGTGCTCGTAGGCACCGTTGACCGTGTGGTTGACGCCCTCGTGGAAGTAGTTGACCCCTCAGTAGAAAAAGGAGTCTCCTCTGAGAAGATAAAATCACCTGTCTCAGTCGGTGTCGGAGCTGCGAACGAAGTCGTCGACGAAGTACGTCTCACTCTACTAGATGTAGATGCCTGCACAGTGCTTTCACCAAGCCCACCACCTCCGCCTCCGCCATTTCTGATGCAGCTCTCCCGTACAGCGTCGCATGCGTATCCTGAAGGGCAGCACCCGCCGGCACACTCCGTCTCCCCACGATCACAATCTTTCTGGCAGTAGTTCTCGCCTGACACACATGTAGTCCCGTTCGGACAGCACCCAGACAGATCTGCACAAGGAAAGTACCCCGACCTCGAACATGATCCACTACCACTGCTACCGCCACTGCTACCACCGCTGCTACCGCCACTACTGCCACCACTACCTTTCTCCAAACATCCATACCGGCTCGTGCTACTCTGGTAGTAGCAAGTCGAGGTAGCAGTAGGACAGCATCCATCCCCACCGTTAATGGGCCCACAATCAGTATGCCCAGCGGGACAATATTGCAATGATCCCGAGCAGAGCTGGCCAGTAGGACAACACCAATTCTGCACGCCATCCGACTCGCAGTCATAGCCAGCGGGACAGCAGGAGAAAGTATTGGCGCACATGTACGTACCGGCCGTGGCACATGTTTGTCGTTTGTGCATTGCGGCGGCGGGAACTCGGTCGGCAAAGGCGGTGAATTTACCATCGGAAGGAGCTGGGGACCCCATGGAGCCCATTGGGAGGACCCCTTTGGGGACAGGGGAGATACCGAGATTGGAGGGTTCTTGTTCTGCGCATACTGAGGTTGCGAGAGAAAGCAGGGCAAGAATGGGGGCGTGATATTTCATGATTGAAGGTACGTATGTGGCCAGGAGACGGATGACTGCACAATGGTCTGAAAGATGAAATGGAGGGGGGACGATATATATACTGACATACCTACTGAATTCAGATTTCAACCCACACCCCCAACTCCGTCCTACCAAAAGCAAAGAAATAAGTCCATTACCAACACAAATCGCCAGTCAATGCCAAGGCCGACCCTCGTATCGTGTTAATTGCAATTCATCCTTTGTACAACGTCGATAGTTCTTGGTTAGGTAACTCTGCAGCTTCGGCGGTGACACCGGCTGTACTCCTACACATCAACTATGTATGCATTCGTCCAAGGATCCAGCCACTGAGAAGTTTTAATGATAAGTGCCTACATGCCTACATGAGCTGTGTAAGTTCACAGTGTTACACATACATTAGGATCCGTCGGCATGGCCGCAAACATGGAGTTTTTTATGTTCAACTCCTCACGCTACATATCAGTCATTTGGTTTCGGAACTCTCTGGGCTTCCCAGATAGTGCGAAGATATTTGCAGAAGCGTAGCTATCGTTTACCTTAAGACTGATCTATGAAAGCTTGTTAATTGCCTAGTGAGTCACGTCAAGGAACTCGAGCCTTTTCGTATTTTTCCCTGTCAATAGAAAACCTCGACTAATATTACCTAAAATGGAATAACTAGACCAGACAGTTTAAGCTTAACCGCAGATCATCCAATGAACTCATATGATCTCGTATGTTACACGAGTATTACACAGAGCCTTAAGGCAGAGAAAGGGGCTGAATCGATTGGACAGAAACCAGTGGAGTGCGCCCGTCGTTAAGTTAGCTTTAGGGTTTCTGGGTCGGGGTATCATAGATATGGAAAGAGTACCGGGGGTTATGGGTTAGTCTGAAGAACCCTTTTTTGGCGTATGATTGGTTGAAGCTGCAGAAAGTGATACTTGGCGCCAGAAAAAGTACTTGAATAGGCTGCCCCCCATCTTTTGCAACGCAACCTCCGAGACCGCAATTTGAGTGCTGTTTGCACCCAGCTTCATCAGAAAACACTCCCCACAAGGGCTTATGAGCTCAAAATATTGTCTAGGGGAAGCTGGGAGCCAGCGCTATTCTGCAGTTATTTTTTTGTATTTTTAGCAAAATATTTAGATTTTTGAGTGAATATATATGAAAGTTCTTCAGACTTTTTTCCCCCCATACAAATTTGGTGCGCTAAGGCCGGTGTGATTGATGATAATTGGTTGCTCTCTATAAAATCCCTGCATGTTCAACCAACGAAGCAGAGTTCTTCAGACTAAAGGTGAACACCCGGTACAGCGATTCACAGGCATTTGGCGAATACACCCATTTGACGAACAGGGGTCACGGCCAATAAGAATCAGGATATCTTAGTCAAACTCGCAGTTTGACTGGTTGCTGGCTGGTTGCTACATACAAATTCGCCAAATGGGTGTATTCGCCAAATGCCTGTGAATCGCTGTAGGCATGGGCGTGGACACTAGAGTACCTACTCTAGTGTGGTGACTCCACCAGCATCTGGTAAACCCGTTGTGATAAACGTTTAAAACACCACTGGCTAATATATTTAGACATATCATCTCGTAATTTTGGTTGTCATTAGGCCCTTTAGCTACATGAAAGATCGACCGAGAACGAGAGATGGAGGGCGGGGCATTACATAGGCTATCAAAAACCAACAGCACTCAACAGCACGTGCAGTTAACGGTATGTGGTACGGGAGAAACGTTACACAGGGCGCAATCTTCTTCAGCCCCAGCCTTCCGGAGCCCTATGTACGATACTCGGCTCCATCCTAGAAGTGCAATTATAGCCAGCCGAGACGTGACATGTCATGAGAGAGGGCTGTTTTGTGCATTAAACTGCACCTTTGCGGCTGAAAGTGGCATAATATTTTGTGCACTCGCGTGGTAGCGGTGGCAGCGAGCGTTTTTGCGGAGACTTGCTACATCTGGAGCAGGTGAGAGCGATCATTAATAAAGCTTGATAGACAAGAAGTTCTTATTAGCGACACATTAGAGAGTTTAAGCCATCCGAGTTTTGGCAACAACAAAAAAGATCGTCGGACAAAAAAGATCAGCGGTCCAGGGTCAAAGGAGAAACTAACCTAGGGCTGGTAATTTCTGCTGTTGATACTGCTGTATCGAGCACTAGTAAGAGCCTCAAGACTACTAGTTTGGGGGTGAGCTACGAAGGTTGATCTTTTTTGCTTGTTCTTGCTAGAAATCTTTGGTGGCTTAAACTCTCTAATATTATTTGAAGGAGTGGGTCGATGAGCACTAGCAAGGACTGCGCCGCAGACTTGTAATTTCAAGTATCTCCTAAGGAGGTCTAGTTTCGCCTCTATCTATCTTACCGCCAAAACTCGAAAAAAATTGGCTATCTCCCGCTAGGGATTATTGCTCGAGTGATTGGTTGAATGGCATCGATCTGCATCAGAAGTTTCCCATACAAGTAATTTTGATCTCTGGAAGCAGCCAATTTTTCGAGTTATGGCGGTATTATCGCCAACACCAATACGAGTCATGCAGTCATGAGGATAAAACTATTCGCCCTGACTGGAGATCGCTCCCACTAAGTCTTCTTGGATCCGCGGATCTTCTGGCTGTCTATTCTTGTTCATCTAAGAGACTAACAGGATGTCCCGAGACTTACCTTAGGTCTCGAGATTATTAAGGCTGCGATATAATGAGACAATGAGACAAGATATACTCGCCAAAAAATAAAGTCTGTGGATGAACTAAGTACCGTTGCAACGCAACCATTAGGCCAGGTACTTAATTCATCCACAGACTTTATTTTTTGGCGAGTAGAGATACAGGTTCAAAATAGTCTCGTTTTGTCTTATGTGCATCATTAGAACTTGGGTTTGGGAAAGAGGGTGGTGTTCAGGAAGGAAAGCTATTAATGGGGGATCAAAAGAAGCTGAGAGTGCTCTTTATCTAATGACCCAAATTTGGGTAAATTCCCCAAGACTAGATAATGATGTTTCGACAGATTATCATTTCACCCCGAATTTGGCCAAAGCAGTGCCACTGCATCTCGTACTTCGGGGAAGTGGTACCCAAACAAAAAGAATTCAAGTCAAAGAAAAACGATGTTTTCTTCACCAAATATCGCTGTTCGATGGGTTCCTGTTACGTCAAAATGACAGTCACCGTTATATATCGAGCCCTTTGATCATAACACGTGCGCTTGGAGTTTTATTCTAGCCCTCTGGCCTCGGCAAACATATAGATAGACTGATATATACCTGTTAAAAAGCCTGGATTAACGTGCATATACAGTATTCAGCTTTGAATCAAGTAAACTGCGCGCACGTCCGGATCAGGCTGTAGTTTGGGTCGTTTACTTGTTGTAGTCTTCTTTACTGATATTTCCTATGTGTAGGCCAGTCTGTTAGCCTAGTCTTTAGCTATAATTATACTTATTGGTTATGGTATATGCCTGCGAAATAAAATATATATCCGTGACCGCAGAGCGAGCCTGAAATCGTGGCCACAAACATACTAAGGTTCGATGATACCTGGTATACCAGGGGAAAATTTCTTTTGTTTGAGGTGCCGGCCACGGTGCATATAGGACAAAAATGATGTTGTGTCCTGGAAAACATCGTTTCTGTTGGCCTAATCGCTTGCTTATCTGCCATTTTGGTGGATATTGTTTATATAAACGGGACTCATACCTTCTTTCCCAGCTGTGGTTCTTCTCCATTGGAGAATCAGACGATTGTATACATGTAGTTAATCTTATCCCGATTTGTGGTTGCCCTGGCCAGTTTCGATTCAGGCTGAACACAATTAATGAATTATTAATTAATTATCCTGGTTTGGTATTGATGCCCAACTCGCTCAAGAAGAGATTCAGAACTCAACGATATGTGAACTTGAACTTTCAGGCACACAGAAATCGCATGACCAGCAAAGACGCGAGATATCCTGGCGTTTACGGTATCAGTTTGGCACTCTACGCGCCTACCGAGTGATATTCAGTGATACTCACAGACCATCACTCGGTATCCACAATAGTGTGAAACGTTACACAGACTCTTCCATGGCTGCATATGCAGGCAGGCAAGATGTCCCGCCCGTATCTCCACTCCATGATGCCTCATCTCCCCCACCAAATACATAGACCGCGCCATGTCCACCCCGCCGCCTCCTCTGGAGCTTAAGGAAGCTGAAGGTGAGAGTTACCACCCAAGAAACCCCCAGGAGGAGACCAGGCCGCAAGTCAGGGAGCTGAAAAGTCCAGATAAAACCCACGAGGAGACCGCAGAGGCCAAGGCGGACGAAGTTCCAGAACTAGAAACAGCGAAAGAGTCAAGCCAGACTACCTCCGGCGCAAATGATGAAGATGAGGTACTTACCCCGCTGACGTTGCTTCCTCCGAGCTAATACCCCTATAGACAGTCAAGAAGTCTAGTCGTGTATCCCGCACACGTATAAAAGACCTCGAGGCTGCGCTCACAGCTCTCTACAAGGAGCGCCGTGATATGTTCACAGACATCGACCTCTACAAGCGCGACATCGTAGGCTTCAAGAAAGACATCTCGCGCCGCGACGCCCAGATCCTAGAGCTACAGCAGCACACCGCAACACCGTCACTTGAGCTCGACAGTCTTCGTGCCGCGAATGCCCGCATCGCTGAGGAGCTACGTGTGCACAAAACCGCTGCAAACGCCGTTATTGCTGCGCGCGATGCCGAGATTGCACGGTTAGAAGAGGTGGTGGGCGGGTTGAAGATGTGCATTAGTACTAGCACGCGAGTTGAAGAGGCAGTCGGGGATGAAGTATTTAGAGATGCGTGGGGGAGGATCGGGTATGATGTCGTTAACTGGTGCTTGACTAACGGAGCCGTGAAGGGGGGACGGGTAGATGTAGGATCTTTGGACGCGGAAGTGAGAGTAGTGTTGGAAAGGGCGGTACCCGGGCATGACGGACTGGTAGGTGATGGGAGGAGGGTGCATGTAGTACAGGCAGTGATGGCAGATGTCTTAGTGAGGGAAGTGTTTAAGGGCTGGTTTTTAGGACTGGAGGAGGACCGAGATGTGGCTTTGAAGGGATTGGAGGGGATGTTTGCCGACACAGGTACTTAGCTTAATACCCTCAGATATGTGTTTGAGCTGACTCTAATATGTACAGCTTTACCAGCATCTTTAAACTCTTGGCGCGCCTCGACGCTCACCCTCCTCCGCACACACCTCCTCGCCACACCCGCTGTCCTCACTGAGCTCTCGACTCGTATCACCAACGCTCTCCTAACATATACCACACCCCTTCTCCCGATGCCGCCCAGTGCATCCCGCGAAAAATCACTCACAGCGATCGTGGATGCCACGATCCGTATCGCAACACTGATGCGATGCCAGCGCGCACGCTTCCAAATACAGGACATACCTGTTGGCGTCAAGTGGGATGCGGAGACTATGGAAGACCTGACGGGAGAGGAGGAAGACGGAAGTGTGGTCGGGTGCGTGGCATGGCCTGGGGTGGAAAAATGTGGTGATGAGATGGGAGAGGGAAAAGAGGTCAGATGTGTAGTAAGGGCTAAGGTGGTGTGTGTTGAGCCCAGAGAGGGTGCGTAATTATCAAAGTTAGATAGGATAGATACGTGGGGTTATTGGGTGGAAGTAGATACTAGCATGGTTTTGAACATAAAGAATTGTAGTGTTGTATCAATGAGAATTTAAGTGTTCAGGAATAAGAGAAAGAAAGAAATAGGTTTGCTTATCCTGTTTAATAATGTTGAATCTTGTATTAGTATAACAATTCTCCCGAGACGTTGATAAGAGAAAAGCCAGGAGTCGATCAAGGCGTAGCTTAGAGCTTACAGGCAGAAGTACGATAAAGATCCTCGAAAGCCTGTGAGGATATATTTCGGGGCAGCTAAAGATCTGGTCGTGGGAGGGAGAAAATCTCAGCTTTCTTATCTTTGAACCTGATTCACCTCAGCCGTCTTGTGATTACTTACAGATCATGGAGCGCACGTACTCGATTTAGCCAATCGTAAAGAAAACCTTTACTGTAGCAGAGATCATTGGTCCGCCATTAACGGCCAATAATATTTCAGGTTACAAATGTGATCAAGAAGGGAAGCGATGCCTAGGCCATGGACTTTTGCTTGTTCTGTACTATTTACACTACGTGTGATGATCTTCCTGTCCGCATGGATGAGATGATATTTTTCCCATACTCCAGGTCTGGGCCTCAGCACCTACAAGAATTGACCATCACACCCAGATCAGCTTCTACTGATCGCTCTGCTCTCGCACTATTTACAGAATTCATAATTCCACACTTGGTCTCCGAGGTTTCATTCCCAGTATGATTTAACTCCCATTATTTAGTGGGCCATGGGCCAATGACGATAAAATCTAACATATGTAGGTACAGGATACCACCAGATATAGATATAATCTTTTGAACTAATTACTTGCCTATCTCCCCGGTCCGCTTTCCGACTTTAATTACATGCATATGATAATGATAGTGTCTAGCCAATTCCCCTCATTTGCAAGGGTGTGAGATGATCCCTTCCACTCCACTCCATGACTAGTCCCAGTCCACGAAATCCGTAAGCATTTTATTAATATTGAGGTGCGAGCTGTAATGCTTCCACTATGTTAGTCGTCTTTGCAGCCAGGCATTCCTTAAGACCTGAAGCCTATGATTCATCCAGCACGAAAATTGAGCTGAAGATTTCAGTATCCAGGCCGACAAAAGGTAAGAAATAATCGTGGCATGGGCCATGAATAATTCTTCTGATATGATCGACCCCCCACAGACCCCCATGATCTTCTAAAGTTCCTACGTATCGGGATCTAAGGTTAGCCGTGTAGTTTTTCGCCAAGCTCGCCTTCCTGTAGACTTTGTTCCTGAAGAGAACGCAGTATAATCCTCTAGTCCTTTCCCCGGCCCAGATGTAACCCAACCAGAGTCCAAAGAGCTGCGAGAACTACCTGAGTTTGAACCAGCAGTGGCATGAGGTAGCGGAACTGGATTTTCGTGCGCCGTTTCGGGACCACTAGTTACTCCATCAGCCGGCAGCTTTACAGCTAGCTTCCATCGATTTCCAGGATAATAGTTTTGAAATCCAGTGAATATCTCCACAACCCATTCCCTCCCCATTCTATCAAATACCCAACAATTTGACTGCCCGCAATCTAACTTACAGCCTGAAAACCGCCACGATGCGCAACTAAAAAAGTGCATAAAAGAAATAAATAAAAGAAGAAAAACTCCAAAAAGGTCCAGCCCGGTCCTGTCCAACATGAAAATAATAATAATAATAATTCAACCTCGATCGTTTCCTAAGCTAGATTCCCGCTCACTTATTTGGTATTATCATTGATTTCGCTTTCCTCTCCCTACAAATTGTCAACGCTCCGTACCCCGAAACCGGAAAAAAGGAGTACTTACACCAATGTATGAAATCCTGCCTCTGCAGCCCTCACCCTCGCCACCGCCCTACTACTCCCGCCCTCAATCTTTACCAAAGTCTTCTGATTAATCTGCACCGTACATGTATGCTTCCCTCCTCTAGCCAAACTAGGCAGATACGTGACTGTCCCTTGCCCGTCCGCCGCCACAAGCTCACCAAGCTTCTTGACTGGATGGGTAACGTCCACCCCATCTCTCACCAACCTGCGCATCGTCCTTAATATCCCCAGCCGCTCCGCAAACTCCGTCACTGGCCCAAAGTCTCCACCCGAGTCTACGAAGATTGCACCGAGAAGCGCCTCAACAATGTCAGAAAAGAACTTATCCGCCTCGAGCCCGCACAGCGCCGTCCACGGGTAATTTTTGCTCTTGTCGAGAGCCTCCTGAATAATATCTCGGAAGCCCTCTGCATCATAGCTGTGCCAGACCTTGGTCTGCGCAGACGCCATCTCCGGGTGCTGGTGGCGGACAAACTTCCATAACTGGATTTTACGGTCCTTTGGCACGAGCTCGAAAGTTGATTGGCGGCGGCCGCGGCGGGCAGACTCAACGACGGTTGCATCTCCAACATTTGTGGCGAAGCCGAGGGAGAGGAAGGCGAGGAAGTCGGCGTTGACGACCGAAGCCTTGAAGAGATGCATGTTGATGTGGGAGAGCTCATCCTCGTGGTGGAAAAGCCATGGAACCACAAGCATGTCGAGAAGGGCGTCGCCAAGGAACTCGAGACGCTGGTAGGAGATAGAGCTCATGTCGGAGGTATAGGAGGGGTGCGTGATAGCTTCGACGAGGAGCGCTTTGTGGCGGAAGGTGTAGCCTAGGAGCTTCTCAAGGTCACGGAGGTTCGAGGTGCTGGGCTGAAGCATTGCGGCGCGAGAGACCATAGAGTTGATGCGTAGAGGGAGGGGCTTGAGTTCGTTTTCGGGTACAAAAAGGTTTATACACTTCAGCGCCTTTTCGTAACTTCCTTCGAGGAAAGATGCACCGATGAGGGATTCGACAACGTCAGCGAGGATCTTGGTCGATAGCTCATTCTTGCCGCTAGGGGTTTCAACATCGTCGGCGTCTTTGAGTATTTCGGGGTTCCGGATGTAGTGCGGCGCCCATTTCATCCCCGTGAAGATCGAGGTGATGATCCACCTCGATAGTCGCTTGTCCTGCGCTGCTTTGGCTAGCCGGGCGTTTGAAACTAGCTGGTCCTTTTTCCGGGCGAGGTAGCCTTCGTGCCAAAGCGGGTGCTCATCGACAAGGTTGACGCTGGTGAGGAATTTAAGCACTGAATCACCGAGGAACTCAAATCTTTGGTAGTCAATTGCCTCACGGGCAGCAGATGCGCATATTGAGGTGACAATGAGAGAAATATCATGGATACCAACCGGTGCTAGTAGCGTCCGCTGTAGATCCGCCGCAATAAGGTGTATCTCAATCCGGCGAATGATGCCCGGAAGAAATAGTCCCAGTTGATAAAAGCGCCATGGGACTCTCTCAAGAGTACAGTACTGTGGGAGCAGAAGTATTGTAGATTCAGAGCTGGGTTGATTTGCTTCCTCGTGAAGGAAATCTCGGCGTTTAGTGATTTTGACTGCTTCGATGATTGGCTGGTCCTTTTTTATGTGCTTTTTGCCGTATCTTTCAACAAGTGCAGGTACATCCAGGGGCGACAGATCTGTTCGCCAATTTTTGACGACAAGTCGTAAGTTACTCTGTAAAATGTCGTTAATCACAATATCACAGCTTGGACCAAATTGATTATAGCCGTCTAAAGCGTTCGTAATTCGTCCAAGATTGGAGCAGTCCCATTCGCCTGGCTGAAGAGGAACAAACAAATATGGGAATTCCATGACCCCGGGCTTCATCCTGTTTCCAAATATATAAGAAAGCAACTCAAAGGTCTGCTGTCTCCCCCACTCCACGATTCCCGGGTTCACACCGAGACAGATTGTATTCCCAACCGTGACCTTTCCGACCTCATCATTAGTCCAGAAGACCCGAATGTCAGCCACAGGAGGGCACTCGACGGACGTCAGCATATTGATTTCCACATTTTTATCTGACCTTGGCATGCGCAGACTGATAGTTGTGGAGTAAACGAGAGCATCATCATCCCACTTCATATTAGCCCAAGGGTTCATGGTAGTCTCGACTGGAACCTTAGAAGGTCTCTTCTCGACATCCTTCATGGCATCGATATCCGCATCTGTCCGCAACAGGGGCATTAAATGATCATCAACAAGTTTGAGACGATATAGGGCGATGTATGCCTCGAGCGCAGCATCCCGCTTCGCCCATTTTTCGGTAGGCCATGATAGCTTGCTCTTTGTATGACGTGCCTTTGGAGGGATACAATTGGGGAGCAAGACCTCGGCCCTGAAGAGTTGAGCTGAGGTCCTGGTTCCGTCTTCATTGCGGGGGTCTGGATCAATTTCGCATGTAAATGTTGGGTTGATGTTCATATACTGGCCCTGTGGTAAGCAGTCGCAGAAATGATAGAGATGTGTGATTGCCGATTCTAGGTTTAAACAAGCCCTAATGATGACTGTTAGTACTGGTGTTAATGATCAGCATGGAGGGTAATGATGGATATTTTTTTTGTTTCGACCCTTATATAAGTAGTGCCGGCCGGGAGCAGGAAAAACACATGACACGACAGGCCTATGCTAATTGGTGTATACTCTGCATGGATAAAGAAGGGAGGGAAAAAATACCCGGTACTCTCAATAAGAAACTTTCGTTTTGTGCCCACGCCCCGGATTCCTTTATTTTCGTCTTCCTCCGAATCTTCCTCCTGGGCCGCCGCCGTAGCCAACTCTCTGGTCTCGTCCAGATACTCTTCGATCATATCCCTTTCCCTCTTCTCAAAGTATTCCACACTCCCATCCTTATCCCCCTCCTCGAACATCAACACATAGGTACTCTTGGCCCTTCGAGCACGCCCTCGACGTTGTATAAAGCTCTTCAGGTTCTGCGGCAGCGAGAAGCACACGACAAGATGGCAAGCCGGAATATCAAGCCCTTCCTCCACTACGCTCGTAGATATTAATAGATTCACTTTTCCTGCTCTGAATAGCTCAATGACTCCAACTTGATCCTTTGGAGAAACCAGTTCGTAAATCCCCTTTCCTGTTCTTGCCGAATGCTGTGCTCCACCAACTATCGTACCGCACCGGAAGAGGTCTTTTGTGCTCCTGTGTGTCCTGATAATCTGCTGCATAAGTGTTACTTCAACTCTTTGCTCAACAAATACAAGCCCGGCAAAAGCTTCTCTATCTTCCTCGCTGTGATACTCCTCCAACAGGACCTGAATCAACTTCTCCATCTTATCTGTGAGCCCTCCCTCGACAGGCCCGACGTCTCTGGGCACTGCGACATTTCTTAGAACCGATTTTAGATATGTTTTCTCGTCGCCATTCCACTCTATCAATGTTCCCTCTCCGTCAATTTCCTCGGCGCCTCGCAGGGTCCTTGATAATGCTTCTTTGATGTACCATTCCGTGGCCCATACTCCGTATTCTTTCCGGATGTGAGACGCTTTGGTGACAAGCCCTTTCATTTGAGTTTGACAGTAGGTACCCCTACTCGATATCAAGCTCTGAATCTTACGCTCATTAGGGACAGGTGATTGGCGTAGAGAATCAATATACGGATCCTTCTCAATATCCATCCTCATATACGCATTTTTGAGAGACTCAAACGCCAAAGAGGTTCCTTGAGAAATTATTACCGGTGAAGGATTTGAGGATGGTACTGATAGTCGATGCGGGCTTATTGATGTAGCTGCCGGTGGTGTTGACGATCGTGAACGTGAAGGTGACTCGCGTCGAGAGGAAGGCGTGTAAACCTCTCCGGTTCTAGGGTCGATCACCTCGTAGGTATCTGATTTAACAGAAACGGCATCTGGTGAAGGTGGTCTTCCGGGTATAAGGACCTCCCCTGTTCTTGGGTCTATAATCTCGAACTCCTGTTCCTGTTCCTGTTCCTGTTCCTTCGCAAAAGGCTCGCCTGTTCTTGGATCTATGCTTTCGAACTGACCCTCAGGTATCTCAGTATCTACTCCGTTTGAAGGTCCGTCCGTCTCATGGGTATCCTCATCAGAGTAGTAAATGCTATCCCCGCTGCAGCTATCACCATCACAACCTTGATGTATATTACTTATTGCCTGTTCAAGCGCTTTCATATTAAAAGTATCATTTGTGCTCCCGTTAGAGTAGTCCGAGTCAATATCCAAGACTTTTTCCGTACTAGGGAAGGAAATATCCTCTGGTAATCTGGCTAATGGTGTGAAGGATTGAAATTGTGAAGAGCTGTATATAACTCTTTTGAGCTGTGGCGGGTAAACATGTTTGAGAAGTTCGATTCGGTTTATTACTGGCGTCCGAGCAATTGCGTTTAGATTTGCTTCAATTAATCTATGGAGACAGTTCAGTATGCGGAGAGAAAGCATTAACATGGGCTAATTAATATATACCGAAGTTGATCGGGCCTTGCTCTTACCACAGGACTTGCCGTAAGTCCAAGAATGGCGGGAACATATAACGACTTTTTGAGCCGTTCATGGTAGAAATCCTGCATGATTCGGTTTGCTGGGTGAGAGCTAACGCAATGATGTGCTGCGAGGGGATATACATTAGTAAATTCCAAGGCAACTATATATCATACTCCCTTATTTCATGAAGTTTCCTCGTAAATCCACTCCTTTTGAGGCCGATTTAACGATATTTGGGCTACAAACCTTCGTCAAAAATTAGCAACCCGATTTTTTCGAGCTTCACGAAACCATGGGTCAAGGCATCCAGCAGCACCTACCCGTTAACTATCAGTACCCGGGTCCGTATTACTTCTTGTCTAGTAAAGTGATATTTGTTCTTTATTAGGGATATATTGGTGAGTATATACTTACCTGATGAGTACTGATAATCACTGCGCTTTGTTCACTATTTAACCCTAGAACGCCATCCCAAATCTCTTGGTCGCTCCATTTATCCACTTTATCGTTCCCACTCAAAAATTCTATTTTCACAGGTGGTAACGAGCCTTTCAGAACATCATGTTGTTGTGTTCCTAGCGCGACGTTTGGTACCAGAAACCAACACAGCTAAAACATATTAGCACACGATTTCAGGCTTGATACATGTATATAGGGTTATTATCTTGCTATACCTTTCCGTTTCCTTTCTCTAACTCCGCCTTAATTCGAAGCACAGCGCTGTAGAAAAAACCATTTAGTCAAAATCAATTCTCCTAAATAATTTTATACAGAAGTCAAGGACTTTATGGTATTGCGGGGAATGTTGAAAGGAAACAATTCTGCTCGTTACATATGCGTCTTTCCAGATCCGGTATCCATCTGCATCATGTTAGTACCCTAGATAAATCTGGGACCTTTTATACTCCGTACCGCGACAATGATATTCCTTCTCAAGCTCTCTTGAAACATTTCCATCTGGTAGCCTCTCGTCTGCTCTAGACTACTCACCAAATCGGCTCCTCGTCCAACCCCATCGGCACTCCCATCTCTGAAAGCGCCGAGGTCGCCATTCTCACTTGCCATGTAAAACTTGGTATTTGGTGTGAAGCACGGGGGTGATATAGACCTTCGATTACGAGGAAACGAATATTGCGTTGATGATATCAATGAAAGCACGGAGAAGTCGTTCTTTTTATCCCTAACTAGGAATGACCACGTGCGGGGTAACACATGCCTAATGCGACGCGGAATTCTAGAAAACCACCCCATTTAGTGAATACAACTCTTGTGAATGCCATTCACCTGGATTCGAATTCAGGCATCCACGATCAATCTTTCAGGCAACCCACTGGAAAACTATCGGGAGAGAAAATTCTCATTTTGCGTGAAGATTGTGTCACCTTGGATGCCTGACTCACGAAGCGAGATCACCATTCGACTATTACGGCACCCACTTTCGCCTACAAAAGTTAGCGGTTAACTATCCATTTACATAAAGACAGGAAGATTTCATAATCCATATTACAGACTTACCTTTATCTAATATCTTTGAGTAGGAGACATCGAACCAATCACCATTCTCCCACGTAGGGTATATGTGTGTTTCTGCGAGTAGATATCGAAGCCAATTTATTCAGTAACTAATTGATAGCTCGCAAGTCTCTAATAATTAGTTTCAATGTGCGAATTGGTATAATTATATACATTATTAGAGACAGACTACATGCAGTTAGCTGCCATGGGTCAAACCTAGAAAAAGTGCATAAGCTGCTAGTTAGTACAGCCCATAGCCAGGCCACACCAATAATTTATCATTTGAATGCTGCCAGATTTGATTATATATGCATATTATATGAGATATGCAAATCAATGCGTTTTATCACATCCATAGATCTGATATCCAGAGACAGAACGCTTGATACCCAGGATTTATTGAAGCCGCAAGTTCGTTTTAAAATAAAGGCATCGGCACAGAGTAGAATATTCTCAAAAAGGTCTTGAATTTAGGGTCATGATTACTATGCGCATGCACACATGCGAGTAAACAGTGATTATCGTGCTGCAGAGCCAGATGAAAACGCCGTATTCAATTTGTATTTGGGAAACTAATTTACACCTGCCGTTGATAGGATCAAGATTCCTAGGTGCATTGAATACATATTACCAGAGACGCGGAGTTAAAAACTTTAAAGAATTATGAAGTATATGTGCACTTTTATTCCTGGTCTGCCTCGGGCTGGTAAAATAATTCTTGTGCAAAGGATGTTCCTTGAAGTATTGGAATGGTAGAATAAATGCCCCGATTTTTCGATCCAAACAACTTAGGTTCCCTATCATAAAAGGCTGCAAATGATTGAAGGATTTTTCTGTTCAGCGGATAAACTTAAGCGCGTGATGATCGAAGTAGGTACTCTAGATGCATATTTACGCTAAAGCAAGGGCCTTTTTGAGTCGGGGCCCGTCGGGTCTTTAACGTTTATTATATTGTTCTACCTCAAGCTCTGTTTTTACTCACCGTGTGCATTTAGCCAGTAACGTAGCGCATTGGTGCTCATAACTTCTTATAACTCATAGTATTTTAACCTCTTGAGTGTTGAATGGCGATCCCCGCAGTTTGAAATTCATAGCACTTGTCTCGACCCATTCGTCTTGGGATTCCCGAGACTCACCTACCTATCTTATGATGGCGGCGTTGTCAGTGTCGTCGGCGACGCGGCGACAAAGACGGATGAATTCGAGTGGTAAACAGCCTGATTACCCCATTAAAGGTACGAAGTCTTATTCCCTATTTAGGTATCGCGCCTTCGCTTTTATATACGTCGGTGGCTTTGAATAAAGCTTCACCATCTCATATTTCTGTCAACAATACAGCATTTCACTTCTCCACTGTATCTAACGGTCCACGCTTTAAACCGATGAAGCGGTAGTCCAATGATTAGTTTGTAACTACATCTCCGGCACCGGCAGGTTGGGAGTAAATGGGCCTCGTGATATTAATTTTTCTGAACACTTTTTTTATTTGTTCCAAGCACTTCTGTAGGTATCATAAAAGTGATTATGAGGATCCCATGTTGATTTGTCCGCTCGCCCCTTGCTTCATGTATATCCTAACATATTATTCCCATTAAATATTGCAATATAGTTTATTTTTACTGTTTCCCACCGGAAAACCGTTCGATCGAGCTGGTGGAGTTACCTTGTAGGTACATAACCTGTAATAGCGATTGATTGACAAAAAAACATGCGTCAAGTTCCAATACCCCGCAGATTGAAGTTGATCGGCAGGTGTAAGGTATTCGAATCTCACTACATATGTGTAAGTTCTTCGCAACTACTAGGCAATTAACTAATCAAGCTTACTAGCAGGCTAGCTAGTAAGCGTTCCTAGTTGTGCGGAGAAACTCCGGGGAGGCAGGGTCGAGGTTTCTCCACAGGTCGTTAGGGATTCCAACGCCAGTTGTTGGCCCCAGCAGGGAGCACAGCTAAATCTATTGCGGATACGGTGATGTCTCCGGTGCATTCGGTCCTAAATCGGACGGCGCCGAAAATTTGAAACGGTCGGGGGATCCTCGGCTGTATTTTGAAATTCTTGGCTAGGCGTCGTTAATTGTGAGGCTTGGAGATTAAGCCTTTGAACACAGGGCACGATAAGGTATTTCGCGCAACGCTCACCTTTCTCTCTCTGCCTTGAGCAGTTTCACTTAATACGAAGTGGTGCTGCTCACTATAATATCACCGAATCATATACGTCATTCGTTAAATGCCGATATGTGCAGACATGAAAAAAAAAAAACTACCTTGTCAAGTTGTGTGTCTCCGGGTTAGTAAAAGCAAGCAACCTTAACAAGTGACTATCATGGTTAGTGGGCACATACAAGCATTGCCACGGCTCAACACTAATGCGGGTATTCCCAAAGTCTTGTTTGTCGTCGACCCATATGTGATGATTTGACCGTGGAAACGCAGGCTAGCTCCTGGCAGAGGAATGTGACGAGCTACCCCTATTAGCTGGCATGATCAATAAAACTGCGAGTTCAGAGAAGAGATAGAGATATATTAATTACATGTACTCAAGGCATATCGAGGTTTTTGGAGACGAGGCCTTGGTAGGGTTGCTGTCTGCAAGGGAGAGGCCAGGAAAAAGAAAAAACAAGGAATGGCGCCCGCATGGTCTCCGGGAGGCGTTTGCAGCGCAGATCCCTCCCGAGACTTGCATCCACATCCACATTGAGAAATAATTGTTAGTTACACTTAGCCTTGGCGTTAATATGGGATTGCCATGGGGCGCGCAAGGCTAAACCAAACCACCATTGTTTTTTGGTATCTGGACTTGTGTTGTCTGACGTATTATAAACGGTTGTAGGTGCTAGATGAAGAGTATTTACTGGAATAGGAAGCCATATGTAATGGCGGGATGTCGGAAAAACAGGCAGAAGTTGGGGGTGAAGCAACAGCATGTGGGGGAATGGAGGGCGGATCGCGGATATTGTCGTTCCTCGCAAGAAATCGAGGTGAATACCTGTTAGTAGGCGCAGGGCTCATTAGATTTTAAGCTGGAAAGGGAGATTCAAGTGTAGCTCAATGGTTAGTCAGTTACTGGGCTGTCCATAATGCACCTGTCCTGTGCTACTGTCGAATAACCGAAAACGAACGGGCGTTATTTAATAATGCGGGGTGTTCAGAGGCTCTGGGTTACATAGTAAGGAACGGAAGGGGCACGGAGAAGTATTTAGTCCCTGTTGTCCCCCGCGTTTTTGTGGAGAAGTATTTCATCATTCTGAAAATCACTACACTTTTCTTTACACTCTAGCTCTTGCTTTTCCTTCCATCCATCTGAGTGATATTTTTTTGAACTCAGGATGGCTATCACTACCGTGCCAACGGGCTCAAGCACCGAGAAGCCTGTTTCCATCCACGAGAATGAACACGAAACCCTTGAATATTCACAGGCAATTCATAAGGTCAACTCACGCCTGGCACATCCTTTGGCTGGCTACTCTCATGAACGCTTGATTGAGATGGGAGCGACCTATGCTCGCAACCATGGGATGGAAGAATACCAGGAAGAATTCAGCAAAGGAGCCATGCTAGCTCAAGACCCAGGAGCATTTGAGACAATCCCACTCTTGACGGACGAGGACAGAAACATGTTGAGGCGTGAAGTCACACACAAATGGAGTCATCCAAAAGAGCTTTACCACATGGTTATCATGTGTTCTCTTGCTGCTGCTACGCAGGGAATGGGTATGTTGCCAGCCTCAACAATATCGTTAGTTTCGTAGTAATACTAATATACCATTGATCATAGATGAGACTGTCATCAACGGCGCAAATCTCTTCTTCTTACCACAATTTGGAATTGAGGACCGTGAATGGATTGCTGGTCTTGTCAACTCGGCACCTTACCTGTGTTGCTTTACCATTGGTTGTTGGTTGACGCATCCGCTGAATAAAACGTTTGGCCGTCGGCACACAATTTTCATCACCTGTCTCGTATCCTTCTTGACTTGTCTTTGGCAAGGGTTTACAAACTCATGGCAACACCTCTTCGTGGCTCGTTTCTTTCTGGGATTTGGTATTGGCCCGAAGAGTTCCACTGTTCCGGTTTATGCTGCTGAATGCTCCCCCCCCGGGATTCGTGGTGCTTTGGTCATGATGTGGCAAATGTAAGACATTCGTTCGGCATCTTTCCTTGCGGACATTCACTAACGGAATCAATTATTATAGGTGGACTGCTTTCGGTATCATGGTTGGTTACATTGCTGATGTTGCTTTTTACAAAGTTCCTGACCCACCTCATGTAAGTAATTCTTCAAGGAAATTGCAAGTGTATATCAAAACTGATGTTCTGGTCATCACAGATTACGGGCTTAAACTGGCGCCTTATGTTGGCTTCAGCGTGTGTTCCCCCATTGCTTGTTTGCGCACAGGTTTACTTCTGTGTAAGTCAACTCCTTGGCCTATCAATTTATAGCGTAATTTCTAACACCCAATAATAGCCTGAGTCTCCACGTTATGAAATGATGAAGGGCAACCACCAAAGAGCGTTCAACTCTCTCGCCCGTCTGCGTTGGACCAAGGTTCAAGCTGCTCGTGATCTATTCTACATGCACACTCTCCTCGAAATTGAGAAGGAATTGGAACATACCAAGAAGAACAAAGTTGTGGAAATGTTCACCATCGGCCGCAACAGGAGAGCTATGATTGGTTCCGAAATCGTCATGTTCATGCAACAGGTAGTTCCAAACGATCATAAGATAGCTACCCCGATGCTAACTTGTTTCCCAATAGTTCTGTGGAGTTAATGTCATCGCCTACTATTCTTCAGTTATTTTTGTTAATTCCGGCTTCTCGCACATATCTGCTCTCCTTGCATCAATGGGTTTTGGAATAATCAACTTTTTGTTTGCTATTCCAGCGGTCTACACCATTGATACCTTTGGCCGTCGCAACCTCCTTCTTACAACATTCCCATTCATGGCTCTGTTCCTTCTATTCACGGGCTTTTCATTCTGGATTGAGGATCAGACTGCTAGAGTTGGCTGTGTCGCCCTCGGAATCTATCTTTTTGGGATTGTTTACTCCCCTGGAGAAGGTCCGGTCCCGTTCACTTACTCCGCCGAAGCCTACCCGCTTTATATCAGAGATCTCGGCATGTCCCTCGCAACTGCAACAACTTGGGGATTCAACTGGGTACTGTCTATGACATGGTTACCACTCGTTCGAGCTTTCAAACCACAGGGTGCCTTTGGATACTATGCAGCCTGGAACATGATCGGTTTTCTTTTAGTTCTCTTTTTCTTACCTGAAACAAAGGGCCGAACATTAGAAGAGCTGGATCGCGTATTCGAAGTCCCCACACACGTTCACGCAAAATGGGGTCTTGCACAAGTCCCTTACTTTATCAAGCGTTACATCTTCCGCCAGGATGTCCCCGCACCGATATTGTTGGATTTATCCGATACTCCTCACCACGCAGATAGCCACGGTGGCGATTACAAAGAGGCCACTGAGAAGGTTTAGATTAGATGGGTCGGTTTTTTTTTCCCTAATGATATCACGATTTGGAATTTCTTTTCCTTTTTGTAAATTTGTCTGTAATTCTTTTTATTATGTGAAATGATATTCAGATAATAGCAAGAAGAGATTACGATTACAAGTCTACAATATAATAAAAAAGCAATAAATGAATTAACAAATGTTAATCGTGGTATTGCGGCGGTAGATCATGGATGTTAACAATTGCATTATTGAAGGTTTTAATATGTAGTTTGGCTGTACTTTTTGTATTAGAGGTAGTTTGGCCTCTAAACTGTAACTATAAAGACAGAGCCTTCACTCTCCTTGTTTCTAATCATCAGTTCATATAATACCTTCTCTGGGTTCTCGGTTCTTCACCTTTCTTCACAAAAATCATCCCTGAAAACAACAAGTCTACATATAGTATAATGTGAACACATGCGAGTGACCTAACATGACGCCAATTGATGACCTAAGCTTTGCCAGGATCACTATCACGGCCTTGATCCGAAATTCTCCACTAAATAATCGTATCTACATGCTATGTTATTGTAACAACGCACATGTGTACAGCCGCATTCGAAAAGTTTTGGCGCCTCCGGGCTAAACTCACGAGGCAGTCCTTTCTACTTTGCAATTCTCATATTCGAGACCGTTATCAGAGAGAGCCGCAATGTCTCTATTGCGGTCATACTTGTCAATAAGTTGAGTATACGCGAGTGCCATGGTTGTTGGTGGGCTACAATTCATGAACGACTCAATATAGTAGGGTGCCAGTACTTTTCGAATGCGGCTGTACATGCCCCCCCCCCAAATAGGGATACCCTACACCGTGCTTTATATTTGGATATCTATGTGCAACAGGTACATACATGTAGACATATTATATTCGATTCGCGGGTTTTGGTTGATTGGTGTATTTGAATACCGGGTTCCCAATAGAGATCCAGAGTTTATATTCCATGTGGAATAAACATAATTACCGATAATCTGCTGGATTAGAGGAGTTTTGCTGGGAAGTATGCACTATCGCTGACTCTCGCAAACAAGCTAGATTGAGTTGGGGGTGTGATAAAATAAAAATGATGTTTTGCTACAAGTCCAAACTACATGATCTCATTTTAATCCACTAAAGTATAGTGTAATGAGTGACATCAATAATATCGACAAAAATACGCTCTAGTGTGGATGGTGGTTGAAACAGACCAATAAGAACATTTGTTTACATTGTTTAGCCGCCAGATAGTTCGAATTATGTTGTCCGTAACATAGTGCAATTTATAATTTGAGCTATAGAGGGTGACAGCTGGAAAGGTGCATACTCTGGTTTCAACATTTTTGCCACAGAAATTACGTCCCACTATATATTCCTAAAACTACCTAACAACCCATCTTTTTGGTGTTCAAACGAGAGTACCTTTCCAGCTGTCACCCACCATATCTCCTTATTTTATTCTAACCCGTTACAAAAGTGAGGTTATGCCTGCTATGGACCGTTGCTGTGGAAACAAATACAAATTAATTATAATGCGAGCTTCGTAGCAAAACTCCTCCTATAGATAAGTAATTATACAATTCCTACCAAGAAGTCTTCGTGGTTGATGGTTAATCACACACCCCTCGAGGCTGCCGGTTGTGAGGAGTGTGTCTCTATCCTAATTTTAAACGTCCCAATTAACTCTCAATGTCTTCCCAAGAGTACGTAATTCCCCAATAAGTTGCGTAGAATCAAAGGGGAACATAAAATTGGAGAACTGTCCAGGTGCTGTGGAACCTTTCGTGGGAGAATAGAAAGTTGTCAGAAATTGCGGGGCTAGCAGTACTACAGCGGACATAACACAAAGTGGTGGCGCGCACGGCCGCGGCGGAAACTTATTCTCGCGGGAAGTACTACATGTAATATCTAGAGTTATTTATCCATATATATTTCCTTAGGTGTACACATAACGAATCATTTCCTGAGACTACTACGTTAGGATTAAAGCCAAAGCGATGCTAGATCGCCCCCGATAGTAGTTGAAATTTTCATGGGTGTTTTTACTCAGGCACTCATGATATTAAATTAATATATTTTCTTCGGTATTGCGTGATTTCTAGTTCAATATGATGGTACTAATCTTAGGCTAGGGGTTTTGTAGTGGGAATCATAACTTATCACTCGCTAATACGATCTCATCTGTTAAGGGATGGCATAAGCTTTCGAGCCTAGGAGAATATGGGTGTCGATCTGGTAGGAGGGTCCGGTGGGGCAACGCAACGAAAAGGAGCCTCACCAGTCCACTACCACACCC